TCCTCCCCTCTTATGAAAATGTAGCACATAGTCCATTTAATCCTACCTGGTACTGACTGAACAGTTTGGTGGGTTAAAGGATGTTGCTTGTTGAGTCTGGCTGTTTAAATGCATTTTGTGCTTCTAGGGAAAAGTAAATGAGTGGGTGCACCAGTTTTAAGCACATTATTAACCAAATTAATGTGATTTTCCCACCTTAGTGCAATGGTGAGGAGAGTAGTTTGGTAGCCTCCACAAGGGAGAGGCCAGCATTAATGTGTCCTGGCATCACGTGACAGGACAGTGGGGATGGGGCTTACAATTTCTTAAAAACCTGTTCAGTTTTAAATTAGCATATGTGAAGCCCTAGATTGTATAATCCTCTTATAGAAATTTAGAAGGCCATGTTTTTAGCTTTGGAAAAGTACCTGAGCAGCACATTCTTCTGGAGACCCTTTAGGTTCTGCTTCTATCTTGAACTGACTTTGAGACTATTCTGTTATCTGGTCGGAGGCCACCAGGGGCACTAGAGAGAGAAGGATAGTCTATATTACAATGGAGAGAGTTGAAGAGAGTTATTCTCCCTCCCCACTTTCCCATTTCATAAACGAGGGTTGTTTCCTCGATGGGGACATGGGTGGGGGGAATAACATGAAAATAGAAAAATTGTTTAACTCATTCAACCCACCCTCCACTCCTGTAAAATGTACTATCCTTCTCTCTCTAGCACCTTCTGGTGGCCTCCACCTGGATAATGGCACAATACCCTGATTCTTTTTCAAATCAGTGAACATGTCTTGCCCCAGATAAATTCTTTTTGAGTTTATTTGAATTTTTTAAACAAATGATTAATTAGCAGCAGAATAGATCCTAGTTAGTTGTGTGTGATCTGATTTTGTTTCAAAACAGAACACAATGTCAATCTACCTAATAAGATATATGGAAGATACCAATGAATACGTGGGTGTATCAAATGGACTGGCCAATTTACTATTGGTTTAAGTGAATAGTTGCAGATAAAAATTCTTCTCATGTAATCCTGAAAAGTATTTTCTTTGATCCTTCTGAAACATCTTTTTAAATGGAAAGAATAAATCAAAATAAAGGCGAGGACAGGCAGTGGAGGTTCATTTTAAAAGTGGATTGTATTTTAGAGAAAACCAAAGCTTGGGAATCACAAATACGACGAAAGATATTTGCAGGTACAATTTATTTTGCAAAATGATCAAAGCAATCATATTCTGCACAAAACACTTTGGCGCATTTTGTTACAGATGTCTGACACGCAATGGTAAGAGAAATACGTCTGTTTTTCTTAGGAAGTGAAGTGCATTTGTGTTGAATATGTTATTTATTTAGTGGTGCATGGCTACATGTGACATTCAGCATATAGAAGAGAATAAACATGAATTGTTTAAAACTTCAAATATGAAAAGTTGATGACAGCATGATGTAAGGCCTCATTAAATATTCTTCTGGTATTTTTTTGGTTACTGTCCAATACATTGTTAGAGAGAATGCAATCCTTACAGTTCCATAGAAGTACTTGATGCAAACCATCTATCAAATTGCCAGTCCCGAACAAATTAAAACTCACTGAGCACAGCATTAGCCTTTTAAATTATCAGATTAGCAAGTAAATAAACAACATCAGTACTTGCTTTTAAAAAAACTGTAGCTCAGTTATGAGAGTCCAATACATTGTGGTGAAAATAATATAGGAATTGTGAAGGTATCTCCTCAGTAAACAGGTTTTTAAAATGTCAGATTAGGATTATATTCTTTCACAGTTTGATTGAGTTGTACAATCCAAATGGAAGTGATTTTTTTTTTTGTAAATTGTAGCCATTGGAGGTATTATCTATCCTTCTTCTTTCTCCCTTGAAGGAGAACAAGAGAGAGTGAAGTCCCCTGCTGCTGTCTCTGATAAGAGATAACAGTAGGAATTCCTTTCTGTGCTGCTTGTCATCCCAACTGGAAGGTTGGGCAGAGTGTGTTGGGCATCCTGCTGTTATCTACAGAGATAACAGGGGGAAGAGAGTGGTATGTCCAGTGTCTGGAAAGGTGCATTTTACAGAAGGGTATCTGTCTTAGACACTTCATGATTCAGGTTAGGCCCATTGGTCAGAGGTTTTCTGTCCTGTGATAAGGGAAATGGAAGATTTCTGCTTTTCTTAATATTGAGTTTTGTATAGAGTCTAGCTGCCCACTGCACATCAGTGGAACCACCTCCTTCCTTCTTTGTCTTATAGATAGCCCCATGACTCTATGGACCTCATCACATAGATGAGGTCCTGCAGGACGATATGCCATCCTTTGTGGCAAATCAGCAGGGCAGCGGGGCAATCCTGGCATCCCGCCTTCGACTGTAGCTGATGTTTCGGGATTAGCTCACATGGGGAAGTATCACTGTGTGGCTTGATGCCATGGTTTTTTTTACAGAACATGGGAATTCTCCCATGTTTCAAGAGAAACCTCTGTCAGGGTGTCAGGACGCTTTTTCCAGTGAGCCTCACTGAAAGTCGCCATATGTTGTGTGATGGTGCCCAGTGGGCTGTGAGGAAGAAACATCCTAAAAGCATCCTAGGATGCTTAATTCATCTTTTATGATGAGGTGGTATGTTCAATGGAATGTGATGATGTGGTAACTGGAGTAACAATTGTGCATATGTTTCTCTTCAAAATTTACATCAGGGCAGGGTTGTGGCCAATGTATGTTGCTTGTCATTGCTGGTCTTTGTGAAATATATTTTTCAGAATTGTTTTGGAAAATAGTTTAAAAGTTGCCCATAAGAATTGTATAACTAGTGCACTAGAATACAACAGATGTATAATAATAATAATTAATAATAATAATAATAATAATAATAATATATTTCAAACCTGCACCTCTCTTCCCGAAGGGACTCAGGATGGCTTCGAAATATAACATGAAAACATTGCTAACACTCAATGCTGTAAAAATAAAACATTTTTACACATACAATTAAAACAGAGAGAATGACTTTAGCTAAAAGGCTATGAATCAGTCAGTAAGGCATAATTGATTGCACAAACACTTAAAATCTGTATGAAAGATAAAAATATATAGCTCTATATAGCTAGCTGTATGGCATGTCAATGTCCATGTTTTCCTTTTGTCTCATTAACTGGGCTCCAGAAGTTATTCATTGCAACAACTGCCAACTGTGCCAAGTGACTCAAAGTGGGGAGGGGGGGGGGGAAAGAGAGAAAGGAACCTTGATGTTTCTTTTTACACATTGACAGATATTGTCCATTATTTCTTTTAAAAAATGTAATTATTACTGAATATCACACATTAACTGTGGCATATGTGTAAACAAAATGCAGCTGTGTTAAGTAAATGTGATGGGATTAGCTCACGTGACTTGACAAAACCTCCTTTAACAAAGTTATGCCAGATGTTTGCAATAATAAGTTGTACTGTTTTTAACAAAATCAGTGTTGCCCAGCTGCTAAATTTCACATCTCTGTTGAAAAACAGATGGATTAGAAATGAAAGAACAAAGTTCTTGTGTTTCTATGTTGCCTCTTTGAAAGATGTTAGTGCAAACATTAGGCCACCCTTACTAAGTCACACTACAATGCCAAAGTTTGCTTACGGAGATGCCAATTTGACTTGCTTTTTTGTGTCACATCATACAGAAGCTACTGCTGTGATATGCTATCTTACAAGGTACTACCCAAGGCAGCCCTTGGAAATGGTCTTCTTCCATTGTTTCTTGCTGCACAAGAATAGTGATGTGATTCTCATGGTTCCTCACAAAGACAAAATAAAGGGACTGTTCCTTTAGTCTGGACTCACCTGAGGGTCACAACAGTTATCAAAACATATAGCATGAATTGTTTCCATAATCCTCTCATTGGTCATGAAGTATAACTCAATGTTTGCCGATTCTTGGAACTTGCATTGAACAGCTTGATCTTTTTCTATATACATTTTAAACCAACAATCTTTGAGCATTGCTGATGGACATTTTTAGTTACTATAAAATGGAAATTGGAAACTAAAAGAAAACTGACAACACAAGGCAAATTGGTCCTGAACCCGTTTTGTTGCATCCTACTTTATGTGTTTGAATAAATCTAGACATGTAGTATGCTCTGATGGAAGCTTTATGGAAACAGCGAAATTGAAAGTGTTTGAAGTAATAGGACATCATAATATACTTCTTAAAAACAATGTGGTGTAGTGACTTGAATGTTTAACTAGGGCTTTGGGAGCTCAGGGTTCAAATTCTTGCCCAGCCATGAAACCCACTGGGTGATATCGGGCAAATTACATGGTTTTGGTGGAAACTGAATGGAAGACATTTATCTGTATTCAGGCATTCAGAAACTGTGGTTACTGAACATGTGAAAACACCATTGATCAGGCCACCTTTCCTATCTCTGGCAATATGTGTGCCAGTTACAAAGTTTTGGATGACACATCGTTGGGTGATTTCTCTGGATGTGAAAAAAGATTTAATCCCTCCATGGGTATGCAAACCCTGGTCAATGTAATTCCCCAGTCTGTTCTTACTAGGTTCTCCAGCGAAGGGAACTTAATTGGTATATGTTGTTAAAGTTGATACCTCAATATAATCTAAGTGAGCAAAGTTGTCTGAATCAATTAGAGATGGCAATGGGGGTTCTTTTAGAAAAGTTCCCCAAAGACTGAAAATGAAAGATTATTTAATTAATTACTTCATTTATACTCCACCTTTCTCACCCCACAGAGGACTCAAGGCAGCTTAGCTTTCAAGTATGTAAAAGGGAGAAAAGGCCAGAAAAAGGCATGAAGCAACCAGAGAAACAATATACAAGCATACATACATGTTTCCTAGAGCATATTGTTTACAAATTTGGTTCAGCATTATTTACAACTGTTCTTTTTTCTCAGCCAAATATTGGTGAATGTGTGGAGAATTCATTGACATGTCTTCTGTGAATGAATATTTGACTTCATGGAAAAGGCCCCTAAGAATCTTTGCTAACTTTGGCTGTTCTTTATTTAGGCGCCTCAACAGAAATAAACTGCAAGTTCTTCCAGAGCTCCTTTTTCAGAACACATTGAAGCTAACCAGACTGTAAGTATAGTTTTTATTTTTGGCATACTATATGCATTTTGTTTGGTCCTTAAGTCAGCAATTTGGGTTGTGAGGTTTCGGTATGATGCCTTCTTGAAGTGGATTTTGAGATGTATCTTGGTTTATTGTACAAGACCTTTGCTGGGAAACAAATTTGACAGATGTTTCCTTGTTTTTTCGGTTGTTGTTTTACTCAGAATGCAGATATGTTGGGAAACTGAAGCTGTTAGCGTTGCATCTCTTTTTTAATACCTATGTTCATATGTGGCCCCCTTTCTCACTAGATTTATCACATGTTAGCATATTGTCTGAACCCTATAGCCTGATTAATTTTGACTATATGGGTCTGGATACACATGATGTGAGGCACTGTGGCACAGAATCAAGTTTTTCTGGCCTCCAGTGGAGGAGAGGCCAATGTTGCAATATGCCATGAAGTTAAGTGTTTGTGTGTAGAACTAGGGTGTTTTAAGCTCTCTCTGCCCCTATTTTCTTCCTCTCATTAGACAATGTTTCAACCCATCCTCCTGCCTCCAGTGCAGTGTAAGCTTTGTTAGGCCCTTTGGGGCTGGATAGGATTGTTTGTGTTTTTTCCTGGTTTTTACTTACTTATCCTAGCCTGTATCTGGGAGGCTTTGGTTGTTAGCTTAGGGTGGTGTCCTTACATATCCAGTCATTTGGCAGGTAGCTGTTTCTCTCGTACCTCTTCTATAAGAGGTACATCTGACTCTACTTAGGCCTTAGATGAGGATTCTACAACTGTCTCTTTAGGTCCAGTTACTTGGGGAGAGGGGAATAAACTACCCTTAGGAACAGCCTGGATTATTTGATCTCACTTAAGTCCTGTACCCTAAGGTAAGGTTCTTGGGTCTGCCTTCCAGTGGATGACTAGAGTGGGAGAAACCCAGTTACAGAGTTGCCCTTGGGGCTTAGGTGGTTCACTCAGGGAAGGCTGAGGAGGAACTCGTGGAATGATGCCTGGCTTCAGGCTGATCCCATGCTAGGTTGCTCCCTGCTCTTGCTCTCTTCCAGGTTCAACTCAATCTAAATAGGTTTTAGGTCAAATACAGTAGCCCTTTTCAACTCAATTCTCTTTGTCTGGTCCCAGTATTCCATGGTTGGTTACCAATAAAATGTTGAAACAATGCTTTGAAGTTTGCTTCCTTCAAACAAACCAAAGGGTTTTTCCAGTTTTACTGTACAACAAATTGTGGTTAACAATAATAATAAAGTATGTAAAGCTCCTGAACTGCTGATGGCTATACTGGGGGAAAAGAAAGAAGCAAAAACATGCAAGTATGATGCAAGACTTGACTCATTTATATCATCACTAGCTGTACCCGCCACACGTTGCTGTGGCAAACCTGCCCTCCCTCTTTCTCCTCCTTCTTTTTCTCTCTCCTTCCTTCCCTCTCTCTTTCCTTCTTTCCCTCTTTTTCTTTTTCTTCTTCTTTCTTCCTTCTCTACCTGTTTCTTTTCTCGCTTCCTTTGCTGTTTGGTTTCATCCTTCCTTGTCTCCTTCCTTCCTTCCTTCCCTCCCTCTTTCGTTCCTTCTTTCCTTCTTTCATTTTTTTATTTCCTTCTCTCTTTCCTTCCTTCTCTACCTTTCTTTCTTTCCTTCTCTCCTTCTTTCCCTCCTCCTCTCTTTCCTTCCTTCTCTATCTTCCTTTCTTTCTTTCCTTCTCTCCTTCTTTCCCTCCTCTCCCCTTCCTTCCTTCTCTACCCTGCTTTCTTTCTTTCCTTCCCTCCATCTTTCCCTCTTTCTCTCCTCTTCCTTATCTTTCTTTTTCCCTCTTTCTCTCCCTCCTTCTTCCCTCCTCCTTCCTTCTTTCTTCCTTCTCCTTTCCCTCTTTCTCTCCTTCTTCTCTATCTTCCTTCTTTCCTTCTTCCTCCTCTTTCCCTCTTTTTCCCTTTTCTCTCCTTCCTTCTTTCTCTACCTTTCTTCTTTCCCTCCTTTCTGTGTATGTGTTTTGTGTGTGTATATGCATATATGTGTGTTTGTGTATCTATATGTGGTTTTGCACATGCGTTGTAATTTTTGGGTGTTTTGTTTTGGCTTTTTAAGTCCCTTCTGCTATGTTTTTCTGTGTTTTTGAGTGAAGGACATACATTGGGTTGTTAGGTGTCTTGTGTCCAAATTTGGTGTCAATTCCCCCAGTGGTTTTTGAGTTGTGTTCATCCCACAAACGAAGGTGACATTTGTGTTTCTCTAGATTGTGCTCTGGCTGTGTGGGAGGGCCCAGGAAGCCACCCCAATAACGGGAAGGCGTGCCCAAAGGCATCCATTGCCATGCCAAAGGTTGGCCTTGAGGCGAGCAGGCCCAAAGGCCTTGTGGGGCAGGGGGGGGGGAAGAGAGAGCGAGGGGCAGGCCTTGAGGCCTCCAGCATCACAATCCCCACTCCTCGCGTCGAGGCCTACCCGCCCCAGGAGCCTCCCTCTCTGCCTCGGAAGAGAGGCTGCTCTGGCTCATCCACGCCCGCCTCCGAAGCTGCAGTTGGCCCGGTCGTCGTAGGAGTCGAAATCTGCCACAGCGGCAGGAGCGATGGGGTAGAGGAAGGCAGTCAGGCGGCAGTGCGCATGTGGAGGGCGACTTGGCCGCGGGGGAATCTGGGAAATGGTGTCTTCCTCCTCAGCGTATTCCTCCCAAGGCCTCTGTGCATGCTCCGTGTTTTTAGGGTATTGTGCGTTTGTGTTGTTGTGTATTGGTGTTTTGAGGGTTTTTGGTCATTCCTTGGGGGAAGAGGTATTAGCAGGCCAAATTTGGTGAGATTTCATCCGGTGGTTTCTCCGTTTTTGACCGCCTAATTACGCCCTTAAGATTCTTATATATATAGATATCAGCTTGATATCTGAATATATCCAGGAGATTTTTAGAGTAGTTTAGGCCCACAAAGAAATTGATTTTTGTGTACTCCTATTGTGGTGAGTGTTTTACAATATTTATTCATCCCTTGCTACATGACGGAATGCTATTATCTCCTGTGGCCCTTGAAGGTTCTTGCTCAATACATGTAAAATAAGCAGGACTACACTACTGAAATGTTTAATGAAATTTACAGCATGAAGATAGTGGGTAAGATTAATATAAAGAAAACTTAGAGTATACTTTCAGCATACTGAAAAATGTCATTCTCATAGGTGACAGGACTATTATTGTCCCCAAGCAATGGCTCCTGAGAATTCATTACAATATTCTGCTTCCATGCATTGCAAACAATAAAAACATGGTAAAATTTCTCATGCAAATGCAGACATGCCAACTCTGTGCTACAAGTCTTAATTTTGGTCCATTTACAGAGTTAGCAAGAGATTTGAATTTTGAGGTGGTTGATCAGAAAATTAGAGTTACATTTTGGTGTGTGCATAGATTAGCTTGGGGCCCCTAAGCTTGTAGGGCCACCAAGCAACTGCCTAGAGAGCCCATGTGTTAAGACAGCACTGATAAATGATCAAGTATTTTTTAATAAATGTGTATCCTGGTTTATAGTGTGCTATATTTACATCTGAGTCTATACAGCCGTATATTCTTGCTGCAGCTTGATTACTATAAAAACTTCAATTAAGAATGTTTTTCACAATCTAATAGGTAGCTATGTTTGTTTTCTGTTTCCAGTCAACTTCCACAATAGCAAACATAATTATTATGAAAATTATACATGAGGAATTTCATTCAAATTAATACAGTAAGTTTTGCAAGTGTGTTTATTGGACAAGAATTGAATAAATGTTCATGCCATTTGTGAAGAGTGCCAATGCAACTCATATTATCTTCATATTATAGGCTTTCAGTAGGCGTTTATTGAAGTCTTCTGGTTTTTACATGAAAGTAAATGCAAATATGTTGCACCCTTGAAAAACCCAAACAACTTACCTAACTTAAGAAGGCTTGCACCCTTTGATTGTAAAAAAAACGCCTGAAGAAATCTTTTGGACATCTCTGTAAAAGCCAAAGTTAAGAGGAAGGGGGCAATCAAACTGTAGCACCCTTCAATTACAGAATATGTCTGCAACTTCTATAATTATTTACATGTTGCTTTGTGACATCTGTTTGACATTACTGGTAGGACTATACAGAAGAGTCAACCTTAAAATGGAATGCAAAACACCCTGTTAAATGAGCTTAATTCATACATTATTTTAGCCTTTCTTGCTAAGAGAAGTCTGGAACTTATTCCTCACATGTCCACATTTTCTTGAAGCTTTGTTGTATATTACTTAAATGATGGTATTTTTTTTTCTATCCACATTGTGACTGGGGATTCTGAAAGTTACTGTTCAAAAAGTAATTTTTCCAAGCTCAGGAATTCCATTTAGCACACAGATAATATATTTTGTATACTTGCAAAAGGAAGTCTTGGACCTTGAGTCAGAGAACCCCACAGACGTCTGTAGTTCATTAAAACTAAAACAAACTTTTCTTCTTTAGTATATTTCTTAATTGGGCAGTGGGTACATTGCTGCTGCTGTTGTGGTTGTTGTTTGTCATGGTGGGATTTGGGGATTCGATGTGGAAGCAGGCAATGTGCAATAGTTCAACCTTACCAAATTATTCTGAGTAGCTGCATCCAGTGTTATTGCTGTGCTGTATATGTGGAACCTCTGGTTTTTTTTTTAATTTCTTATGTTTAAACAGTTAACAGAACTTAGAATATTTGGTTCAGAGGATGCTAGGCTGCCTTCCTACTTCGTGCCCTGAACTTTGGCAGGTCAATGTAAGAATTACTATATAAAAACTCTACTTTATCTTGTTTTTAAGCACTTCAAGATTCTTTGAGGAATCCTAAATTGTCATACAGCAAAGTTTTGAATATTCTGGACTGACATGATGAATAACAGCCATTAATAATCACAGGTCTTTTTGAATTTGATTGATAGTAAAATTTGAGTAGATACATATGTACTCAGACCTCCTATTGATTTTGTGAATCTTATATGCAAGATAAATCAGTATAGCATTGTAAGTTATGTCTTGTTTTTTGTTTTCAAATGTCTCAATCAG